CCTTTATTCAGAAAAAGAACCTCCTGGATTCATCCTAATCATATTTTTCCCTCCTACTTTCTGAGAGATTAAGTGGAAAAAACAAACAAAAAACAAAAAAATAACTTCATGTTAGGGTTAGATATGACCTTTAAAAAGAAAGTCTAAACAATGTCTTGTTGTTTGATTAGCTAGTTAATTCATTCTAGTGGCAGTGGAAGAATTACTGAATAAAGACACTGAGGTCATAAAAAATAATCAGCCCAGCACTGGTATGAACATTACAGCACAGGTGAGGCAACTCTCTCCATAAAACACAACATTCTATTATACATATTCAATAAGATTACAGTGGTCAGAACCTCAAAGGGATTGAAAAACATAATGGTTAAAAATAACTTGGAGTACAGTGGCCTATCTCAGAAATCCTACAAGAAACTTCCTGTTACAATGATATCATACAGTATATGTACAGATCAGCACATGAAGACTTTCATTCCACCCACCTAATGCTCATTTTTGTGAATTTATGATAGCTTTTATTTAAATAATCCCCAACCTCCTTTACAACAAAGGCTAGTATTGTCTTTCCTTTTAAGGTTTTCTCTTATATTAAATTCAGGGTATCTGTAGTTTGTTTTTTCCATTATAACCACAGTTGAGCATTAAGCTCTTAGAAATTAGAATTTCCCTATTCTGCTACTGTATTTTACCATCTAACTACTGTACTGAATATTTTAGCAATTACTTTTTAATTTCTAAGATCTCTTTTGTGTTTGTATTTTTTTTGTACTATATCATTTTTTAACAGACTCCTTTCCTGAAGATATCTGTTTTCTTTTGTTCTCTGTTCATTTGGGTCTCCCTTTCTCCCTTTCCCCCTGTTTTTCATGTGAAAGATTTTACCAATTGTCTAGTGATAGTTGTCTCTTATGTATGGGTGGTGATTTTCAACTGGTGCTCTTCAATGTAGGCTCATTAAATGTTTAGCTAAACTTTTCAATGGAGCCTTTTAACTGTCAGTACTTGGAGACAAAAAAAATTGGTCAATTATCTTCTAATAACATGGAAGACAGAAAATCTACCTAATGTACTCATGACATTTGGTGAGATTCTGAGGCAGAATAATAAACTGGCTTCTAGTCACTATAGTAGATAAGGTACTTTAAGAAGGACAAGATCAAAAGTACAGAGGTGGGTATATAAATAGAACTGAAAGGAAATACAGAACCTAGGATATTCAGGATTGGGAAATCATGCCCTTATCAAATAAAATGTGACCATTAAAGACAATCTTAGGACAAATACCAAATCAAATGGCCTCAAAGAAAATAGAATTTTCTTTTAAAAATTAGCATATACTACTATATACTTCTTAAGACTTCTAATGGGATTAAGGGGTACCTGCTACCTGCTAGCTGAACCAAAGTGCTCCTAGAAAGATTGGGAAACTTGATATATGTAGGACTGAGAAGTCTCCACAAACTGAGTCATGGGTACTTTGAGCATCTGTAAATGTCTATGTCTCTAATCCTCCTCTGCTGCAGCCTTCCACAATGTACTCCGCCAGTAACTCTAACTCCATATTTAGGTGAGTCCTAATTCCCTGACTCAACTTCTTTGAAATTTATGTAATACTTGTATTGAGTCTCCGTTCCTAATCAAATCCAGATTAAAACACCTGGCATTACTAAAAATAGAGAGTCTGAGAAGAAGATTAAATCTATTACTCTATTAGAAGGTATTTCCCAGGTTGGCAAGAAAGGAAGTGAAGGATGGGAAGCAAATGCAAATTGATAAATGACTGAATAACAACTACTGCTATTTCATGAAGAGCCATTGTCAATCTTGGCAAGTATACTTCTTAGCTAAGTGGTACATCTCTGGACCAGCAGGATTAAGACAGTGCTTCTAAATAATCCATCAGAGGAAAGGACAGGAACTTATGACTTCTTCTGTCTACTGATCAAGTTAACTTTGCTAATCTTCCAGACTGCCATCCCTACACCTTTTGACAGTCACTAGGGAAGCTCTTTGGCACGGCATTCCTACAGCACAGATATGTTGGGATGGGCCATGGATTCTGGGAATGCGGCTAATTGAGCTCAAGCAGAGGAAGGAAACACACAGCCTGCAGGTAGTCTGTCACTACATAAGGTGGCAGCGAAGGCAAATCAATTGGTCAGGGTCCAGGAAATAGTAAGGCTGAAAACCTGCTCTGGTGCTTGACATGAATCTGCTATAGTATCCCCAAAATGGGATCATCTATTGCCACAACAATGCTGGAAAATAAACAGATAAATGTCAGTGGCTTAACAATAGGCATTCCTTGCTCATAGTTAGGTGAGTTTCCTAACCTTGGCTGGGGATCACTCACATATTTGAGGGTTGGTTATCAGCCAATCTAGACAGGATTCAGTCAGGGTAACAAGGGCAACCTGGCTCTGTTCTATGGGTGCCTCGTCTTCCAGCAGGACAACATAGCCATGCATGTTCATATGTCAACAGCCAAAGCACAAGAGTTAAGTAGAAACTCAACAGATTTTTGGACATACATATGGCTTAGATTCAGGAGAGGGTACTTCAAAAGAACCTAAAAAAAAGGACCATCAATATGAGGTGGGGGAGGAGCATAGAAGTAAAGCCATTTTGCAGTCTTTCATACCAAAGAAAAACAAGACAAGTACAGCCAATTCATTGTTCTAACAGGTATTATTATCTTCTTTTGGAAAGAACTTGAGATTTTATCTGACTTTAGTTGTACATTGGCTTCTTCTGAAGTATGTAGGTCATCTTTCTTATGCCAGCTGTGGGATGGGGACAAATGAGTGATAGGATTATTCTTTCTCTCTTCTTTTTCTTCTCCCTTTTAACTTATGTTTAGCTGGTTTGTAAAGCAAGTTAAATGGCAATACATTTTGGCTCGGGGAAGTCTAAATTTAGCCCAAAGAAATTCAACCCTGGCCCTGCTTAAATCAATTCAAGCCTTCCTCTATTTTCCAGGGCCAAGTTTAAAATATGAAGAAATCTATTTTCTATTTTAATTGCTAAATAAGCCAGTTTATTTGGCTAAGATGATGGACCTAATAATGTTCAAAACTTATATAATCCACATTCCTATTTATAATGGCCACCTTACTGAACCAAACCAAGTAAGAAATTTCAGATTTTAGACCATGTTCTGCCACTAACTGCTTGTGTTACCTATCAACAATTTACTTAATTTCTTTCCTCCTCAATTGCCACATGTATATAATCAGGAACTGCTCTAAACTACAATATCTCAAATGTCCTATTTCCACTGGATGTTAACAGACATTACACAGGCAAGTAAGTTTAAAGCACACTAATTTAAACAAAGTTCATAATGTTTATTTCAGGACTTTTCACAACCTTTAATATGTATGCTTTTTGAGTCTCCAAGAGAGAAATATAATTTGCAGCAAATTAATTTCACCAAAAACTTTTTTCTCATAAACATATTGTGTCCAATGTGTATATACAATGGTAAATGTATAGTTATTTTTAATATCTATAGTCAGAGTCCCAGAAAGAAACAGAAGGTGACTTCAAATGAGGACATTTGAGAAAAATATAATAAAAATGATTATTTACAAAGGTAAAAACAGGGTTTAGGGAAGTAACAGAGACAATCTTCTACCTGGAGACTTATTAACAATGGAACCCATTACTGCCCCAAAGTAAAAATGGGCAGAGTGAGCAGGGATCTGAACCCAGAAAGGAAACTAGGATAACTACTTGGAAAGGGAAAGGACACCTGATAGAATGCATTCTGTAGAGGGACACAGCCAGCCCATGTTGACCTAGCAAGAAAGGAGTCAAGAAAAATAATGATTTCATCTTCCTCTCAATCTCCAATGTCATGTTGGTGCTCCCCATTTGCTGAATCAAACCAAAAGCCAGAGAACAAGGGAACCTACCTCACAGACCAGAAAGCAGAATTGAAAACAGTGGGGATGTTCCAGAGGAGCAAACAAAACCTATCCAGCACAGTAGGGCTAGACTTGTCAGCTACACCTATGTGATTAAATAACATAATCAGGACTTAGTCTCTCCTTTTATCTCACCACTCTGCCTTCCTTTTTGGGATTCATTATAAGACATCAGTCTTTTTACCTGGTAGCATAGATAGCCATCATCAGCTGCAGGCTTAAATCATTCTTAGCTCACAAATTCTAAATAAATAATTAAAACAGGAAACACACATGCAGTACTTATATTCTATGTGCTGCTGAAAACCCATTATACACATTCATTCAGTTACTTCTCATAATAATCCTGTAGAGTAGCTACCATATCCCTCATTCTTTACAAATGAAAAACTGACATGGCTGCTAAGTGGAAAAGCAAAGTTAAGATTTAGACACTTTGTCTAGTTTCACAGTCTGTGCATTTAACCACTGTACCATATTACCTTTTGAAAATTTAACTGCATTTCCTACAGCATCCATAATACTTATCAAAGTTGGGTCATGTGCTCATCTTTGGATCAGTCACTGTGTTCAGGAAGAGTTGGGGCACTTAGCTTGCTCAACTAGGTCCTATGTTCATCCTTAAGTCAGATCACATGATTGTTAGCACTTTCCCCTAAGAAAGAAAAATGCCAGGCAGATATGAAATGTCCATCACAGTGTGAACTTTGAGAAACAGCACAAGAAACTCGTTTTGCCTGTGTGTGTCACTAACCTCAAGCAAATCACCTAACATTTTTTTTCAGCAAAAAGATTCTGACCTCATCTCGGTCCCAAGGTGGTGGTGAGTACATGTGAAAAGATAAGATCTCTAAGCTGACATCAAATTATAATTACATAAATATAATACATTATATTAAAATGTAGCAACACAATTGATATGCCAAATTGAAAAAATCACTTCTGAACTAAGTTTTTCAATAAACTCTATATTGAAAAATTGCCTGAGGCACAATTTCCTTTCTAAAAAGATCAGGTAAAGTGAATGATACACAAGACTATTTCTCTAGAATAAGTGAAGTACGACTATAAGTTTATTAATTTTAGAAAAATAAAATGACAGATGACTTGTTAACTAATGGGTAAGTTTTGTTGATTCTTTATCTCCAGCGTATTTGGCATTCTTTATCAACTGGTACATAAAAGAGTAGAAAAATAAAAGATTGTCATATTGTCCTCTGTATTTCTCTTTTAATATGTCAGTATGGTAGTCTACTAGAAAGTAATAAATGGCTTCGATTGTGGAGAGGAAAGTATCTGGCTTCCCTTTTTGATGGCGCCAAAAGCAAGTTTTCCTTGTTTTCAATTCAACTTGTAACAACCCTGCCAAAAAAAAAAAAAAAAAAAAAGGAAAAATGTAAATATGCTGTATAGAGTTGGCACAATAATAATGATTTTTCTTAATTATTTTAAGGATTAAAAAAAATAGTACAGGTAAATCCCTTCAATCCTGATTCCAACCAGGAATTTATCTTAAGTGCATTATGGTACATAAAGAAGCAACATAACACAGAATGAAATCTTACCCAGGACAGTCACCTCCCAGTCTTAGACCTTGTAGCAAAATGTAGTTAACTTTAAGTTCTTCATTTGTTTCCATCTTCTATCTACCAGAGTCTTTTCCAGTTTTAACCTGTTGCAGTACTAAATTCACCAATTTTCAAGAGTTTCATTTACTAAAACTGATTTTTAAAATGTCACTCCAAAACTCATTAAGAGAGATGGGCAGCTTAATGGTAAAGTAAAAGTTCACTTTTAGCCTGTATCTTTGTGAGCAGATACCTAGAGTTATTTCTTTAGCTCATGTCCATGCGTCAGAACTTCAATGATAAAGTGAACTAGATGCCTTGCTCTCGGACATTTCAAGAGGAAATGATTAATGAAGCAGTGCTAATCTCTTACGACTCATTTACCAGCATGCAAGCCCAGAATGCTCTTAGTTCCTTAGACCCGTGGTCAGACTCACGCTATATTTACCACTTTTAACATATCTTCTTATAAAATAGTAAAGAGAGAAGTTAGCATCAAAATTGATCCACTGGCCAATCAGGAACTTCAGTCATCAATGATTTCCTACTGTTACATCAAATGTCTAAAAGCCTGTTTATACAGACAATACAGTTAAAATCTTAACATAGGATTCTGACATCATCAGCATAATTTATAAAAAACAAATTAAAGATGACTTAACAAAGTGTTTTGGTTTCTCTAACATTTCTAATTGTTCTAAAGATGTTAAATACAGAAATGAAGACTTAGTGGTTATCACCACTAACCCAATCTGTTTTTAAAAATTGCTGGAAAATATATAAGAACCTTTAAAAGTTTGAAATACATATATGTTAGATTATATTAAAAAATAATACTTATTTAAAATTCAACATACATTTAAATTTTTCTTTTGCTAGTATATCTGGCAACCAGTAACTTTTAAAGCAGAGATTTACAGATAGCTTTTCCTTCCAAAATTGTTGCCTAAATTACTTCAACTGCAAAATGAGTATGAAATTCTTAACCTAACCTCATATTCTTGTTGTGAGGACTGAATGAGGTACTACAATTATTGACTTAGACGTGTGGCTTATTTTTTTTTCCAGTTTATAGTGGTCTGAAAATGATGCATGTTCAGTAGAAACCATCCTTCCAATTGTCCTCTGAAGGGGGCGCTGTTTCTCATGCTCCCTCCCTTGCTGAAGCAAGCTTTTCTCTCTCTCGCCTTGGTTATTACTTGACCTAACTGGGCTTAACTGGAGGCAACTGGAGATTTTAGAAAAGATACAGGATAGACAGACAGACAGACAGAACTTTGGGGTGAGGTGTGTTGTGCGCTTGGCTGGAACGCACAACCCTCATTGCTTCTTTTTCTCTATCTTGATTCTTTAAGGCCTTGCTCCTTGCAGTTCTTTAAAACTTTGCTTCTAAAACCTTCTTTAAAACCTTGTTTAAAACCTCTTTCCTTAGGCTCACACTGTTCCATGTTTGTGCTTAGCTTATCTTTAGCTCAATTGCCCTTAAAGTCTTTTGCCCCCAGGCTTGCACTGTCCCATTTCTCTTAAGCTCTCTCAAAGCCTCAGTGCTCAAACTTGCAAACAGCCCAACCTGCATATGCATAACTCTTAAAGTCTTGGTCCTTAGACTTGCACTGTGCACTGTCCCATGTTCTCTTTGTCTTTTCTTTAGCCTTAGCTTTCCTAAGGCCTATGTATGAAGTTCTTTCTCAGCTTTGCTTTCTGAAACCTATGTTAAAGTTCTCAGTGCAGACTTTCTATCAACCCCTCTTTAACATTTTCCCTTCAATAACTCTTTTCCCTTCCAAAAGCTTCCCACACCAAAAAGCCCAAAGTAAAACCCCCAAAAACAAAAGCCCAAAGTAAAACCCCCCAAAACAAAAGCCCAAAGTAAAGTCTCAAAAGGCAAAAGCCTCTTTTCCTCCTTCAGGGGTCTTTTATAGCAGCGAACAGGGTGGAGCCATGGGGCTGGGCGTGACATTGTAACAGGAGAAACCTGTGTTTCTCCTTCTCTGAACACAGCTTAGCAGAGGCAGCTGTTCTGCCTTTCCCTGCTTCATGGCCAGGGGCTGTGCCTATCTCGGCCTACAGGTAAAAGCAATTAACTGCATCTCGCCTTGCTTGTGTCCAGTTCTCATAGGCTTTAATCCACTCCCCACTGTCCTCTTTTCCCAGGCTAGTGATATGCAGAATGATGACCTGCTGAGGTACTGGGCAGCAACAGAGAGGCAGCTTCCAGTTGGCCATGAGATCAGGAGAGTAAACAACTGATGCTCTAGAGGAGACTGTATTGCTAAGCTATGACATGAATGTAGGTTAAGTGTATCAACAGCATTTTCAACTTAATATTTTAAAATACTTATTGGGATGTAAACCCTATGCAAGTAGATGAGTGTCTGTATATGACTTAGACTCTCAAATGACACAGTGAGAATGCTTATAAGATGAACAAAAGTACCACTTCAAAGGTTGTATCAATACAGTCAAAAGTAAGAGAAACAGCCGACTAACTTTTGCAACAAATTAAAGTACAGTGTCATTTTTAATCATTTTGACCCCTCTTACAAAAGGAAGCTATCTTTCCTTCCCATTTTCTCAAAGCTTCCTGTGGTGAATCTTCAAGAATGTTATATCACTCTACACTTGTAGTTTCCAGCTGACTTTTTATAATTAAATTAGGCATTCCACCTTCCAGTGTTTTATTTTGACAGTGAAACATCCATTGTTAAGAGTTCTTAACCTCAGCATCCATAATAAGAAAATGGAAATGTAAATTCTAATACATTACATATGTGGTTTTACTGAGTTAGTTTGTTCAGCTTAACTCCACCAAATGATGAAATGATTTAAAACCTTAAGCCAATGATTTACAACACACATAGATTATTTCTTGTGGAAGTAACTTGGTTTATCCAGAAACTGGTATTTCACACATATACAGGTTATAAATATGTGCAAAGCCCCAATTAATCCCTGTACTGCAATGAGGAGCCATAGGGAGGGGAGTGAGTTAGGACATAAGTAGAAGCCTGCCTTTGGAAATGTGTTTATTTCATGATTTAAAGGGATTCAGAAACCCCTTTTAAGAGTTGTGAGTGATCTAGGGCTGGCAGAGTGGCTCAAGTGGTAGAGCTCCTACCTAGCAAACTTATAGGTCCTGAGTTCAAACCTCAGTACCTCAAAAAAATCAAAACAAAAAAAAAGTTGTGATCTAACACAGAATTGAAACATGCTTTCTATGTGAACTATGAAGGAATAACAGAAATCTTTTACAGAAATTTGATTTTAGGCAAACTTAAAACAGAAGCAGACTTTGGATGATGCCAGAATCATTCCATTTATAGTCTTTTCAAGTATTTTTACTTATAATTTTTCAGTTGATACTTGCAATTACCATATAAGGTAATAATAAAGAAAAACAGCCCAGAAAACCTTCTAAACTGAGAGGTATGTTGCTGCTGTAAACATCTAAGGGAATGGAGCTGGCGGTGCTCCCTCTTCCTTTTTCAAAGAACAAGGGCATTAGGGGTTTGTCTTTCTTTAAAAATCAGTAACAAAATTCTTCAAAGGTACTATGCTCTGTAGTTTCCCTGCCCCGTGTCTCACACATATAGACAAACACAAATTGCCAAAGCAACCTTACTAACTTTACTAACATGTATGGGTATCTCAGAGGTATAAACTATATAAATAAAGCTAGCTAAATGGAGTGTTGTCACTTTAGCTTGGGACTGATGAACACAAATCAGTCTGCAATCAAATGCCTCAAATTTTCTCTTCTAGATGATTTACATTTCTAACAATAGCCTAGGAGAGCTCCCATGCTAAACCTTTTGGCAACTGCCTAATACCAGCTAGGTAGTTCTCTTGCCTTCTAATCATACAGAAAGTCATCAAACAACTGGGAAAAAACAAACAAACAAAACTGTAAATCTTTTAAGGAAACTACTGAGAAAACCTGAAGAACTAAGCAAGATATAAGGAAACAAGAGAGGCAGCATGAGTTCCTATTCTTCAAATGACTAGTTGTATTACTTGGGAAGTAAAGTAACTTTTAAACCACTGTTATTTAAGATTAAGCATTTCACTCAAGAGAGAAAGAAATACAAATATAAAACAAAAGAAATAAAATTCCTGTAATATTAAACCTAAAACAAGACTATGTGAAGTCATGATACATATATATTTATTTTCCTTAGCTCTGTCCCCTGAAGCAATGACATCCAAGTGGTAATCAATTTACCAGATTAGTTTTTAGTATCATTTCCTTCTTAAAGGAACTAAGGTCTTTAGAAAAATGATCAATTCCAGGTATGAAGCAGAAAAAAGTACTAGCAGATTTGAGATCTCCTGTTGCACCAGAAAAACTAATGAAGCTGTGCCACAAAGGACTTGAAAGGTTCCCAATGGTGAAATTTGAGACAATTTGAGCATCAAAAAGTATAGAATCATGAGAAATTACACCATATTGAATTATAAATAAAATCATTAAGATTAGTGATCTTGAAAAGAAGTGTGCGTGAAAGGAAAAAAGAACAGGGGAAAAAAGAAGCTGTCCTTTATGTAAGAATGTCAGTTAATCAGCAAGGTAGCCTGGTGCCTATAGTCCCAGCTATTTAGCCCACAGGTTGGGGACCAGACATAGTAAGACCTCTCAAAGCAAGAACAAGAACAAAGAAAGAGAAAGAGAGAGGGAGGGAGCGAGGGAGGGAAGGAAGAAAGGAAAGAAAAAAAGGCAGCTAACACATGTAGAAGAAACAATATAATTAAAAATTGTGCCATTTTTCAATTCTCAGTGTAGCTACTGATTTAAGCAATGACCAATGCTTAAAAAGTTGTTGAGAAACAGTCTATACATAGCCTGAAAAGTATCACTCCACAGATTATTACTGATTATAAATAGAAAAATAAACCTTCATAATGGAAAAATCTGGCAATCAAATAATCAATTATCACAAACAATGAAACAACTTGATTTAATGTAACAAATATAACTACATGTATGAATTCCTTAACCATACAATTGATCAGCTAAAGGTTCATTTCTGACAGTAAAAGGATACGCTATTAATAATTCTACCAAATAATAGATTAAAAAACTGGAATAGTCACAGACAACCCTGGATTTATCCTTATATATATCCTAGCCGAAATACTTACACTGACCCTAATCATGAGGCATTCAGACAACTGCCCACTTCACAAAAACTTAAGCCATGAAAAACAAAAATAGAGAACTGTTCTAAATTAAGAGACTAAAGATATATATAATAACCAAGTGAAATGTGAGAAGTTTAAATGCTGTATCAAGGGGGAAAAAAGCTACAAAAGACATTTTTGGATCAATTTGGGAAATTTGAAAAATAGACTGCATATTAGATGATATTGTGGACTCTTTATTAATTTTCTTAGGAGAAATACTAATATATTTATTATGCAAGAGAATATCCTTATTCTTAAAAAGATATATACTTAAGTATTTAAAGGTAAAGTGTTGCAAAGGCTGCCACTTGCTTTCAAATAGTTCAACCAAAAATATGCATCTGCAAATACATATTTCAACCCAAAATATGCATCTGCAAATACATATTTCAACCCAAAATATGCATATGTAAATACATGTATACACATAATATATAAAGAGGAAAAAAGGAAATTTGGGAAATGTATAGATATTCTATGCAACTCTTCTTTCACCTTTTCTGTAAGTTTGAAGTTTTTCAAAATAAAAGTTGGAAAGGAATAATCCAAAAAACATATTTTTCCTACCTTGAAGTCGCTCATCAGTGAGTATTTTGTTTGTTTGGTTCCAGGTGCTATCTATAAAGATAATTTTTTTCAATGTTGTGCCTTTGCCCTCATTCAAATCACAACCCTCCTGTTCTTCAGTTTTCTTGCGTTTAAAACATGGCTTGTCAGGCTCATCATTTTTGCCTCTATCTTTATTTTGAATCCTTTTTTGCAGATGAAAAGAAATATCTTTTATTGAAATAGACTGAGGTCCAGGAAAAACAAGAGCAACCTAAAATAAAGAAACTCAGGTTAGCTGTGTACTAATGAGATCCTCAACATGAATTCTGATTGACTTAACACTTTAAGAAAAAAATATATTGAATAGCTGAGAAATAAGCATTTCATTGGTTCTATTATACGTTTCTTCAATATAAAGTTCTGACTCTTTCCTAATAATTTATAATCATATTATAGTACTGAAAAGTGTGACTTCAAAATTAGGCCAAGTTAATAATACCTTGAATCAAATAATGAATATTTTATAAAATAAAATGACAAAGTGTATCATGCCTTACAATAAAAGAACCACTGAAAGCTATTCAATGATTAAATGCCATTCTCACTTATGTAATAAGCAAAGATAAAACAAAATGGTGTAATGGGCCTTTATAGCCATTACTAAGGCAGGGCTAAATAGTATAGCACAGTAGAGCATGGTGGTGCATGCCTGTAACCCCAGTACTCAGGAGGCAGAGGCAGAAGGATCTCAAGTTCAAAGCCAGATTGGACTACGTACACTGTCTCAAAAATAAAAAAAAGAGTCTAGCACAGTATATTCTATTTAATTAACATAAAAGGATAAAAGGTATATAGTTGACCACAGAAGGAAATACAAATATATTCCTAGACCAAACCACATATTATTTACAAACAACTTTTCATATAAATTAAATCAAATATAGAAAGACAGAAAGAAAAATCACATACGTATGCATATATATACATACATATATTATATATATGTATACATACATATATTATATATATGTATACATACATAGATAGATAGATAGACAGGAAAGTAAAATAAAAATTTCCCAAGTTCGTTCTGAAACAAATTAATATATTAATTTTTAATTTTGTTCTATGTTACCCACACTCACAAATGGCTCTTATGAAATCAATATGCTTCTTTCACAAGTACCCAATGCCTAAGTTTTTGAGATCTATTTAAAATTATTTTTCAGCAAGAAGACTAGTAACATCTCACCAATGTGATACACTGTGTGAAAACCAATTAAGAATCTAGAAATAAACAAGGAAGACATCTGAGCAGCCAAAAGAAGAATTATAAAGACTATTACTAAGCTCTTGATTTAGGAAGACTCCCTAAACTCATTCATTCTTTTCTTCTTTTAGAGGCATTCCAACATTTGTAATTTGGTCTCCTAGTCTGCATCAAATTAGACCATCTAATGCAATAAAGGCAGGAGAATTATTGGGGAGGTGGGAGGAAAAGTAGGAATAATAATATTGGCAAAGAGTAAAATCTTGAAAAAGTAAGGCATAATAATTATAAAAATTTAGCAGAAGACTCAAAACAACATAATAGCTTAGCTGTGAAGAAATCAATGAAGTAACCCATACTTTTAATGTTCCAGGAGCATTATACTAGATTAAGAAAAATATTAAATGATGTTCAAGTAAGTTCAGAAAGACAATGGAGATGAAAATTTATTTTATATTCAATGTGAAGAATTATAAGAAATAAGCTGCTTACCTCATGGTCCTTTCCTTCATATTCTGGAATACAAGGGTATGTGTAAATATTCACAAATTCAGGTGCTAAGAGTTTTGCATGTACAGCAGTGCTTTTGCCATCTGTTTCATTTGGATGTTTAATAATGTCAATCTTCAATGGCAGCTAAAGCAAAAAAATAGATGAACCAAATGAATATAAAAATTCTAATTTTTATTAAGAAAAACCCTGAAAGCTAGATAGCAAGCTCCCACTAAGTTCATACATACGTACATATACATGTACATAGTTTAAAGTCATACTTTTCTAGACCAGAATATTAAGAATGGTGAAGTTATAAAGCAACCCCAACTTCCTTCTTCAATATTGTTATCAACTGTTTTCAACTCACTTAACATGAATCTGTTCCTAAGCAGAGATCCAATGTTACATTCGTTTAAGTTATAGTATCTGGGTATCAAGCCCAATTCCTCACATTTCAGTATCCATGCCAAGAACATTTAAAAAACTCCTATGAACTCTAAGCTTGTTTATTTTATACTGTTTTAAAAGGAAATGCAAGTTTGAACAATACTTCAGATTTAAAATTCAAGTTGAAATTGTGTTCCTTATATATCCTTTCAAGTCAAAGGCACTGTTTTTTATTAGGAGCATCATGATTTTCAGCAGCACAAAATAAATTATCAACTGGAAAAACAACAATAGAATAGGTACAGGAGGTGTGATCCTTATATCACAAACAGCTATTTTCAAAATTATTTTGCCAAATTTCCCTTAATAGACATTATTTGTTCATTACTTGTTATGAATTGTGCCCTACTCTCTTGGATTTCTTGAGTTACATTTTTCTATTATTTTACTTTGATTTGTTTGATTTAGCTCTCTTTAAGATGCCTTACAAGTCCTGTATTCATTCATGATTATGAAGATGAAAAATTAATATATTAATATATATTAATATACATATGGGGGATATGACTTAATTTTTCATTTTAATAATCATATATATATAGTAAGTCCTCTTCAGATGGGTTCTTCCATTCATACTTTGAAAGACTTTTTTTTTTTTTGGCAGTAGTGAGGTTTGAACTCAGTGCTTTGCTCTTATCAGGTAGGTGCTCTACCACTTGAGCCACGTCTCAGCCTTTTTTATTTTTAAATGCTAGGTACTGTGCTTCATCTCTAGCTCCTCATTCCATTCTATGCAAGCATATTCTAAGAATTTATCCTGGGGCACACAGCTGTGATACTCTAGAATGCAAAATTGTTTTTCTTGTGTTTTAAACTGCATATATTTTAACTCTATAAAACATTAACATTTAGCATAAATTATACCTGTGAACCAGTCATTGTAATTAATATTATGATATGCAACTACCAAAAGTCCTCCCTTTCCCATTAACCATTATGCTTAATCTTCAGGCAACCATTAAGAGCTATCACTTTATATTAGTTGGTGTTTTCCAGAATTATATAAATGGAATCGTACAGTATATACTCAACATATACTGCAACTCAGAATAATTATTTTAAGGTTAATATATATTGTTGTGTACATCATACAAATACCATACACGAGAAGGATGCTGGCCTACAAGTAAGTACTTCAAACACCATTATCTCCTACCTTTCTCATTTAGGCCCAGTGATCATTTATAACTTCAGGCCAACTGCTTCAAATTATCAAACAACTTCTAGTTACAGAAAATTTACCATTTAAGTAGCACAAGCAAGGTAGGAATGAGAAGAGGAGAGGAGAGGAGGGGAAAAAAGGGGAGAAGGGAGAGAGGAGGGGAGAGGAGGAGGGAAAGAAAGAAGATTGTGACAAAGTATTCTATTGTAATGCCATTTACCGATGGAACCTGGGTGACTAAAGCCATAAAAAGATGAGGGGAATACTAAGTCCTGCTCAATAGCCACTTTAATGAAGTATATATTGCTTTTTATAAACTCCTTTTACACAGAGAGCATTTAGTCAGAAAAAGCATGCCAAGTATTATGTGTCAAGGTTACATTAGCACAGGGAAGCACAGTTAAAATTAACTCTTTGTTATGTCGCCTTTAAAACAGGAACAGAGAAGCAGGAGAAGCACACAGTCAACATAACCTTCTTGTTTACATCTGAAGGACATGAAGCCATCTGGGAACCTTGAATATTGTTTTTCTGTATGTCTGGCTTTCTCACAAGGCCAGACGCCAACTCACACAGGCAGAGTTTGGTCTGAGACTTTTGCCCCAGTTCCTTGGAGCTTTCTCACAAGGCCAGGTACCAACTCACACAGGCAAGGTCCCATTGCTGGCTCCAACATTCTATTACTAATAAAACTGACTTTCTAATACAGTTGAAGAGTAGAGTTGAAAATTCCAAGGGCTATCACCAACATTTCTGACCAGATGGCTATCTTTAAATGATATAATTAGTATCTAGAACACAGAACTGAATGTTACTAGTGAATTTTACAAATCATGTACACAGTCTATTTTTAAACTACACAATAAATGTTTTATGGACTCCAATAAGATAATTATGCAAAATTTGCAATCTCAAGACCCAATTCTTAGTTCTCAATAAAATTTCTTTTTTTTTTTTTTACAACACCACCAAACATACTTTCAATAAAATTTCTTACACTATGAAACCAAAGCATAGAAAGAAATCAAATTATGGAAACACACGCTTGTATTCTAGTTGACATGTTTTATAGAAGAGACAGCTTAAAAAATGACAGAGTATAGAGTAAACACTAATATGCTCAACAGAGGGCAATCTGAGCAGAGATGTTCTGTTTCCAAATATGTATAGAGTATCAACCTGTTTTCTAAAGTCTATGTTTTCTACAAGAAATTTGTTATGACCCTTTTTGCCCAAATAATGTCAATATACCATTAGCAGGAAGATCTAAGCACATTTGTATGTGATTATCATCTTTCTCAAAAAGGACACAGAAAGTCTTTTAAAGTCTTTGAAAGTAGGACTCTAATAAAGTTGAAGTTTTCTTTTACCTTCTGACTTTTTCCTCTCCTTTTTAAACAATGCCAAGAGTACCAACCATCTTTACTCATGCATTCTTCATGGCTTTAAAAAATCATATTCTGCATTAAAATATAAGTATTTATGAATAAATTCATGAATTCATTTCCTAGACTAAAATTTAAAGCTTGAGAGGGACAGACTTAACTTCCTTACAAAGAAGGATATCTAAAACCAAATGTTGAAAATTTTGGTAAAAAATATGGATACATTAGAAAGATCTTTTGTAGAGAGTTCTATTACATACAGATATATAGGCAGGTAGGTAGGTAGGTAGGTAAGTAGGTAGGTAGGTAGGTAGATATAGATAGATAGATGGATGGTAGAGATAGAGATATTTATCAAATTTTATATTTGGCCACTAAGGAAAAAACACTTTAGAAATTGCACAGTCTAAACCATTCAGAGTTGATCAAATACTTGGCATAGTGTTTTGAATCACTTCTATCAAATAGTGGATATTGGTCCACTGATTTGGAAAATAATCCTCTGTTACTAAATTTCTATGAAAACATCAGCCCTATAAACATATTGACATTTTGCAATTTCTAATCTGAAATCTGAAATCTAATCTGAAATCCTTTTTGGGGCACAATATATCTTAAGATAAAACTTCTAATGAGCTACTTTCTTTATCTGGGTGTGACATATATAGAAGATAGAATATATAGAAGATAGAATAATTCTATGTATATTTCAAAAACTATAATTTGAGATGTGACACTCCTATAATTTAAGATGTAATAATTCTGTACGTTTGAAAAACTTTAATTGAAAAATCAAGTAATGGAAAAATTAAGAAGAATTATTAAGCTCAAGCTCTTGGCTTTTCTGAGTAAGCTATGAAGATATTTCCCTTTCTTGGCCAGTAACATTTTCTTGTCTGTACATGTGATTTTAGATCCCTGTGGAAACCAAGGGTTTGCCAAGATTACCTATAGTCTAAATTGAAATTCAAGTAACAAAATGAGTGTTAAAATGTTTTACATAGTACAAATTTAAATAAACTTTAAATCACTACAAGTAGTTAAGAATGTAACTGCAATTTATATTCTTACTGGTAAATTCTAACGAGACAATGTGTAGAACATCACTCTAAAAGTTCTAATAGATACCAATCACATTTTATATATTGTTTGATTTACTCATAACATTCAGCTCAGTGCTAGAGAAGTTAATACATATGCAGTAAATGCTTCTATTATGTAGAGGATGATGTATGGACACTTCACCTATATAAAAAGTAGTCAGTCCCTGGGCTGGTGGAGAGGCTCAAATGGTAGAGTGCCTGCCTAGCAAGTGTGAGTGCCTGCCTAGCAAGTGTGAGACCCTGAGTCCAAACCCCTGTACCACCAAAAAATAAATAAATACAAAAAGTAGTCCTGACAAGCATCAAAAACCATAAAGGTAAGCAATCAATTCAAATCAACTTTTAAATCTAGCTTAAACTCACAAAAACTACAAAACAGCCCAATGAATACGACTTAGTCTTAAATTTTAGTTTAGTTTAGAGCATTGACATCTGTTCCATCTCATCATATAGTCTGAGGCTAAGTCACATAAGCCAAGGCAAAAAAAAATCAATCCTAGTTCTATTAGGATAGTGCTTTCTCCAGCCGCAGACCAAGGGCCTAAGGAAGTTTTTAAAGCTTCTTCAGGAAAGTCTATACACTTGTCTTTTTCATACCAGACTTTTTCCTGTATTATAAATAAATTTTTTAATTATTTCATTAAAAACTATACCATTTATTTCAGACCTAAAACCTAAGTGTTTTTCCATAGACAAGAAAGTGTTTTTCCATAGACAAGTTTTGCAGGATTGAATTTTTCATTAAAACAATTCATTTTCTTGACACTATTTATCAAGCATCAGTTATATTAGAACAGGCATATGTAAAACATCTTTTTAAAATCCATTTTCTTACTTTCAAACAATAAACTTCTTACTAACCTTCACAAATGGAATCTGTTCAGTAGGCACATTTTCAACAGGGACATAACACGTATAGCAATAGAACATCCTTGAACCACCACATTTGAGACACTTTGATCTCCCACTTCGCTGAGCTTTTTGAAGAACTTCTTGAGATGCTAAGCATAAGTTTTGAAGTGGATCTTCTGCTGCTATAAAAACAGCCTGTGACTGACTTCTTTCCACAAAATGTGAATTATTTCCTTTGCTTTCTTCAAGAAATACAGATGTAGTAACAGACATTCTTCCTTCAAACCAAAGTTTAAGAACTATTCCAAAAACACGTAACATAGGTCACTGTAAAAAAAGAAAAAGTGGGGGAGGCAGAGCAAAATAAAAACAGGAAACATTTTAAACTATTGATCACTTGAATTTACAACAGTTTTAGTACTTATTTTAATTAATAAGTTTTTAGTACTTAACAAATTTAGCAAGTTTTGAAACCATTAAATTGGTATGTATTAACATATAAAATAAAGAATATAAAAAATATTTAAAAATTATATCAAATACAAAGTTCAGGCACTCAGAGTCCATTTTTCTAGAGTTCTTTTTGTTCCAGAGATGGCAATTTTGCTTTATAAATATTAGGAATTCATTGGTTTCATGAATCAGCCAGGTTTCGACTGAACTTTGTAGACTCTGACTTTGAATTGACATTGCATGACACAACATTAAATCTCATGGTAAATGCAATGAAAATAGAAATCTGCAGTTATGTCAGTAAAATTTAGTTGGAAATTGTAGTATTACACACAGACACACATACACAACAACATTCTGTATCATAACAGGGTAGACTATAGAAACCCTAATCTTAAATTCTCCCACCTACTTGCCTGATAGTAAACGTAAGACCCCCATTTCAGAAGGGACTCTGCCCCTTACCCTGAAAGAAGTAAGGAATGACAAGGAATCTGACAGACAGGACTTGCTGAGATTTCCACCCAATTTGACAATCATTCCTATGCAATAGTCTCCATTAAAAAATAAAACATGGGGTTTGGGAGCTTCTGCATAGCTGAACACACAGAGGATCACAGAAAGGTGAACTCATCTACATGCCAGGAGGGTGGGACACCTTGAAGCAACAAAGCTACTGAGCTGGGGAACCTTCCAGACTCCCTGTGCATTGCTTCATCTGGCTACGTATGTGTCTTTTAAAATAACATTTATAATAAACTGGCAAATATAAGTATTGTATTTCCCTGAGTTCTGTGACCACGTTAGAAAATTAAATAAAGCTGAGGAGTGGCTTTTGGAAATCCCAATTTGTAGTTGGTCAGTAAGAAGTTCTTAAGGGACCGTTGTGACTGGGTGTAAAATTGAGGAAGTGTTAGGGACTGAACCCTCAACTCATGGGACTTGACACTACCTCCAGGTAATATTACAAATGAGTTAAATGAGAGGATACCCAGCTGGCTTCAGCTGCAGAACTACTTGCTTATTGGGGGGGATGAAATCTCCATACCTTTTAAGGTCACAGGAGTTTTCCATGTTGATTGTGGTGCGAGAGCAGAAGAAAAACAAGACCCTTCCCTAACAAAGACATGCTCTAAAACATATACTAAACATAACATAGCCACTAAAAATGAAAGATATCTACTGCCAATTATAATCTGTACAATATTCCATAATGTCAGACACATGACCTTAGTAATTATAAAATTATACACAGTAACATTAATATCCACTCACTATAAGAATTTATAGTGCTTTTTAAAAATACACACAATTGAGATTCTTTAGCACTAAAAATAAAATAACTTTCTCAGCTAATGTTTTCTTCAAAGAGGACGAGGGCTGCCAACGCATACCCTGGATGCAAGACATCTTTCGAGGCAGAAAAGAGACTGAGGCTCTACTAATTTGTTATGCATTCCACAACTGTAAAATGATTCTTACTGTAGAGCCTATGGCATTATGGTGTTTAACTGTGCAGGACAAACATTAACAGGAGAAATGCTGTGACTCCTACAGGAAATGTTTTCTGTGGTCTCCCACACAGAATTTGAACAAAAAGACCAGAGAAACATAAAATACAACATAACTTATTATCAAGAGGTTTGTAATGCTAATTTCATTATTCATTAAGAGTTGGCTCTTTTTTTGTCAGATTTTAAATTTTAGTGAGCTTAAGACCCAAATAAAGAGATGTGAAGAAAAGAATGCCAGTCAATGAAGTAAAAGGAAAATGTGCTTACAAATTTACCCAAAGAAAACAACAAAATACATAGTACAAATACTTTTGCTGGGTACTGTTTAGGCACACTTTACATTTAAAGTTGCTCAGAGAAAGTATTACTTGAGAATAGGTCTGGCAGAGTGGCTAAAGTGGTAAAAACACCTGCCTAGCACGCATGAGATCCTGAGTTCAAACCCCAGTGCCACCAAAAAAAGAACTTAAAAAAAAAACAAACCAGAAATAGACTTTGGACTGGTGGAGTGGCTCAAGTGGTAAAAGCACCTGCCTAGCAAGTGTAAGGCTCTGAGTTCAAATCCTGTGCTGCCAAAGAGACAGAGATAAAAACACAGAGAGAGAGAGAGAGAGAGAATTAATAATGGTAATCCCTCTTCGTGACTCACAAATGGAAAACATTACCTACCTCTGACACTCAAAACCACCAGCCTAACAATCTGTCTTTGCAAACATGCCTTTTGCAACTAGGAGAGCACAACATACTTAGCTGCTGCCTTTTTTTGTCTCAGAAGTCTTTAGGAATCATGTGAAAACCTTGTTATCTTATCCCTAGAAAATGTATATGTGGACCCAAAATTCCCACACAATTTCAGGTGTTTTTGGAGAATCTACTTACAGATCCAAGAAAAGAAATCCTAACATAACAAATCAATTCTAAAACAGATAAAGCCTTGAAAGTTTGGAAAGAGAACCTATTTGTCCCCAGAAATCAGAGGTTCTCTTGCCCAAGTGTCAGCTATAGCAAGCTAATAAAGAGTCCTGCATTGCTGTATTTAGGCAGCTGTTTCATCTTGGTTTGGGTTTGTTCTGATGTCACTTAAAGTTCTTTCTGAGAAACATTTTAAGGGTGAAATAATTTTGACTTATTCAGATATCCAAATATATTGGACCCTACTAATCAGATCTAACTTCATTCCTATGGGTATTTCAGTAGCTACCTAGTAGTTCTGCAAGCACCCTGCAAAGGGGCTAAAAATTTCAGTCCCTGTGCATGCCATGAAAGTCAATGTGGCTGCTTGACATTCAACAGAAAACTGCTAGTGAGTCTTTGGAAATATTCTAGAGCCCACAAAGTGCATTCTCTGGAGATTTCTCAGAAATATAATCCTGAATTTCACTTGTCTTCCACCTACACAACTAAATGGGTACTAAGGAAGCTTTATATAAATAACCTTCCTCTACAAAATCAAACACAAATACCTGTGAGGTAGTGAAAGGAAAGTGTTTCTGGCTCCTTCTACTTCACCTACAGACTTTCATCTATGGCAAAGGCAGCCACCTAAAAGAGGTCAATAGTTGTAGAATGTGGACAGTTCTCTCTAAAGGTCTCTGAAACCATATGATTAAGGCATGTGCCCTGACCTAGCCAACAGCCTGCCCCAAATGTATACAAATCATTTTTTGCAAATATGCTTATCCAAAGCCTTTGAAATATACTTATTAACATCAAATGTGTAAGGGGAAATATAGCTAGAGTTGTAGGGGTCAAAAAGACAGGTAAGTATTCCTAAGGAACAATAGTTTTAGCATCTTGATGGTATAGTCAGCATTCTGCAACTTAGGCTGGAAATATATATTTTTTTACTCCTACCCAATTCCAAAGAAAAACTAATTATATTCACCAAGTTACATCATTTTTACCTTGCATATCCCCTTCTGTTTTTAGACTCAAAGTGGGGATTCTAACTCAGTTCTTTATCAACTCATATATGAGCTAAGACACTCTCACACCTCTTTATTTCTAAGTACTTCTTATTGGTTCCACATAGTTGACATGGAAAAATGTTCTTAACTTAGAGGTACCTTTCAGTGAACCTCCCCTTCTAGACTTCAACTCTGCAAAAGCAGAATTCTTTCCTGATCTCACCTATTCCTGATTCTTATGTACTCGAATTCAATGTTCATTAACTAATTTAAAACTATCCTGAAAAAAAGACATCCAGTATGCATCTCATTACTGAAATACCTGACAAACTACCTTTATGAGCCCTACACAGCCTGGCAATTTTTTTCCCCCAAAACAATAGAAATGGTTCCTACCTTTCCCATTATTGTAAGCTGATTCACCTCCCAATAGAACATTACCTAAAAATCCCTTACCCTCAATTCAGTACTAGATATAATCCATTTCAAATCTTCTTTTTGGAGTTGTTTTTGTTTGTTTCAGGGGTGGTACTACAGTTTGAACTCAGGACCTCTTACTTGCTAGGCAAATGCTCTAACCCTTGAGCCACTCCCCCAGCCTCTTTCTGGAGTTATTCTTAAGAACTTCTCAGTCATATAACATATAAAGATAGATAGATCCAGTATCTAATTTTTGAAATCCATCATTTTTAAAATACAGGACTAGTGATCTTTCCCACAGCAACCACAATATGGTATGCAGACTGTCTTGCTGTTTTTCACGGCACACTGGGAGTCAAAAACTTTCCTTAAATGTTGCAACCTTAAGTATCAATTTTATTGTGCAATTGCGTGGAACTGGAACCTGAAATTGTTAATATACTTCATTTGTCTCACATTCCCAAGAAATAATTTAGACACAAGAAACAAACTCCTTTGCTTAAGAGGGAACCGTGCTCTTAATATGTTAAATGTGCTGCACAGTACACGCATTTCTCTGTCTAAACTAGGCTTCTCTTTCCCTGATTACCAATTCCCGCAAACCACCCCCAAGACTAAAAGTGAAATAAGAGCTCACAGGGGACTGACTTTGCCAGATTTGATTTCCCTGGACGGGTGGAAAGCACCGAAAATCATTGTTAGGGGAAAAAATGTTCTTAATTAGTGAGCCCTTTTCCCAAAGGGCCCGCAAGTTCCTGAAAACGTAAGCTCCCGCGCAGAGACCAGGGTCGCCCTCGCAGGTGACCCCCAGCACGACATCCGCTAGGGTTTTGACAGAGAAGGTTCACGTCCCTCAAGCAGCACAGCTCGGGTCGACCACTGGTCCCCAGAGATGCGGAAATCACCTCGGGGGACCGGAGTGAGACTCAGACCTGCACATCCCCCGGAATCCACGCGCAGCTCCACGAGTCTTCCATTCCGCCCAAGTGCGAGCGGCGCGCCGGGCTGTGATCGCGCACGGACCAGCGGAGCTCTTTCTAAGCTACACCAGTGGGAGGAGCCAGGCCGTTGCTAGGACAGTTGCTAGGGCCGGACGTAGAGCAGACTTCCGCGGCGAAGGTAGCCCGCGGGAGGAGCTCAGAGAGGAGTTGGCCCGGAAGTCCCGCCTCAGACGCTCCAGCGTCAGGCGGCGGCGGCGCGCGTTTGAGAGGCGCTGGTGGAGGTCAAGGCCAGGACCTCAAAACTGGGACGAAGTTCCTCAAAATACGCTTCAATGGGTAGCTGGAGTGAGTTGTGAAGAAATACTGATCTCAGAACACTTTCCGTTTTACCAGTCCCCGACATTCTGTAGTCATGCAAACTTGATTCTATTTCTTTGTATGGCTATATCATGATAAGTAGTTTCGAGCCCTGTATAGTTACCAGGAAAAGTTTTTAGGTTAATGGCTTGGTTTGCTTAAAAACACGCATATAGAGTTGGCATTACTGTGCTTTTTTACGATTTGAAATTAAGCATAATGTGTGCATAAATTATTAAATCATTTTCCTATGCCCCACCCCAAAGAAACCCTGACAGAAGGAGTTCATGTTAACAATTGTAGGATTTAGCCCTATACTGGGGCGGGGAGGGGGAAAATGTGTGATTTACAAGCAGTGGTCAAATATTGAACAATGTATTCATTGTCCTTTGAATTTAATGAAAGATAAAGGACAGAACCTAGCTCTGGAAGTGCTTATGATAGTGAGTTGAGCATGACTAGTACATAAAATACAGTATGATCTAATCAATGATAGGAATTTCAAGAGCTTGGAATAGAGTGCTCAGGAAGGCTTCTTGACTGGATTTGGGAAAGGTCTCGATTGGTTGTAGTTTAGGACAGTGTTTTCAACTGGAAACGGTTCTGGGACCCATTGTTGGAGGTCTTGACTCACTTGTAAGCAAGAAAATCTCTTTAGTCAAAACTACATTTTTAAATAATGAAATAATACAAAGTGCAAGTATCAGTACATGACACTTAGAGAAGTTTTGTGTTGCTTAATTTTTAAATTATATATATGTGTGTGTATGTATGTAATTAGAATGCACTAGGCTGTGCGTGTATAATATGTTTCTTATGGTCCACTATTCTGAAAAGTTTGAAAGCCACTGATTTAAGAGGAAAGATGAACTTTCTGGGTAGAGAAATCAGTAATTGTGAAATTGCTAAAGCAGGAATAAATAATTCACAACTGTTTTCTTTTTAAACTTAATTTAGTTCTAGCAAAGAAGTTCAGTTGCACAGATTAAAAAGCAAATGATCCTATTTAGTAGAGTAATGGGTTTTTATGCCTTTGTAATAAATTGCTTCAAAATGTAGCTTTTGAAACATCCATTTTATTATGTTCACAAATTATGTGGTCAGCAGGACACAGTGGATCAGCTTTTCTCTGGTCACTCGACTGGGAACATTAGAAGTGCTAGCATAGCTCCTATTTATAACTTCTCCCTGTGGCCTGGGTTTCCTCACATTAAGGCAGTCAACAATGCAGAAACTGTATGTATTTTTTTTTGTTTTAACCTGGCTTCAAAAACCAACACAGTGTCACTTCCCTCACAGATTTGAGACTTGGTTTTGCTTATGTAGATCAAGCTGGCCTCAAACTCAGGATCCTCTTGCCACAGTGTCCCTAGTAGTGGGAGTATACCACCATGTAAAGCAAAGAGCAGATTCTGTTTTTCTGTTGGTTTGTTTGTTGTGTGGTGCTGGTACTTGAACTAAGTGCCTCACACATGCTAGACAAATGCTTTACCACTAAGCTACATTCCCAGCCTCTGCCCATGACTATTTTTTAAAAACCAATGTAAGTCAGTGATAATATCAATAGAAAGATAAGAGATCCATTATGAATGCCCCTTCTAAGATGAAATACTAGATTCAAGGACATGAGTTTCTATGTTTAGTGGTTCCACTGCCTCCTAGGGTTTGGGGTCCATACCTTTTCTGATGAGAAAGTATGATGAATCACAAAAGAAGTTGTAAAGGTCAGCCCTAAAAATGGAATATATTAATTTCGCTAGAATTTATTCTCAGAGTCCCCACTTTAACTACAAGAGAACCTAGAAAAATACAAATATTGGCAAGCACTAACAGTTTTCTACATTCTAGGTTTTAAACCAAAATCTTACAGTCTCCAACCCCTTCATTCTATTCTCAATTTTTTTCTCTTCACAGGAAAATTCTTTCAAGTCTTTTCAATATTTCTTCTTTTACGCACTCCTTATGTTTAAATGTATTTATATGGCAATTTCTTGATTTTTCAGCTTCAGATATTATCTATGACTTTCTCCTAAGGAAGGCAATGATATAGATAGATCTTTTCTAACACTACCTCAAGCATATGAACATCCCCTATCTCCAAATTTGTGTGTGTGTGTGTGTGTGAGAGAGAGAGAGAGAGAGAGAGAGAGAGAGAGAGAGAGAAACATTTTCTTGTCCCTGTATCTCTCAGGTGTAATAATTTGGGGTTAAATAAAAATTTAGTGTTATTACTAGCATGTCTGAGTAAATATTCAACCCTATGTCACATAGTGTACTATGATCATATTAACTTTTAATATAACTTTTACTTAATAATTGTCATATTTATATAAATATTAGCAATTTATCCTCACTCTGACAAAATGATAAAGCATTACAATCAAATACATTAATGTTTCTTACAGATACTCTTCCTAGAGCATTACAACCTCTAGACCATTCAAGATGGTTTGCTTTCGCCAATCCAAAACTGTTCTCCTGTGTTGGATCACTTATTCTTTTTTCTTTGTTTAAGCTTTCTTGCTTTGAAATACATCCTTTAGTACCTTCCTGGAAAAAAAATGAAATGGAAGTGTAGGTAACAAAGTAATGCCCCTATATATATACATCCTAATTTCTAGAACATATATGGCAATTAAGTAAAGAATCTTGAAATTGGAAAAATTACTCTGTATCATCTGGGTGGCCTGGTGTAATCACAAAGCTTTATAAGAGGAAAAAAATTGGTCAGAGAGGATAATTATTCCTCAAGGCTGACTTTGAGGTTAGATGAAGGAACTTTGAGCAAAGGAATACAAGTGACTGCTAGAAGCTGGAAAAGACAAGAAGCAGATTCTTCCTTAGAAGTGCCAGAAGGAACATCAATCTGCTGACCCATTCAGACTTCTGATCTCAGCAATTGAGAGATAATGAATGAGTGTGTGTGTGTGTGTGTGTGTGTGTGTGTGTGTGTGTGTGTGTGTGTAGGGGGTTAGGGTTTTGGAGTGGACAGTACTGGGGTTTGAACTCATGACCTTTCACTTGGTAGGAGGCCCTCTACTAGTTGAGCCACGTCCCCATCCCTTTTTTTCACTTTAGTTATTTATCAGATAGAGTCTTAAGTTTTTGCCTTAGGCCAGATTTAGACAGTGATTCTCCCAATCTCTTAACTCCTGAGTAGCCTAGATTATAGGCATGAGTCACTGTGCCCAGCCCTTAGATGTATGTGATTTTAAGCCAAGAGGTTTGTGGTAATTTGTAACAGCATTAATATGAATCTAATATGGGAAGAAATGATATTAGCATTTTATAGATGTGAACAATGCCACACATAACAATTGTCTGTCTATATTTAAACTTACTGGTTGAAGTCATTCTCCCAGCACAACCTTCTAAGCCCTTATCTTTTTCCCTCTGATTCTTGTTTTCTTTATCATTTTTGTTCAAGATTTATTCAACTTTTTATTCACATAAACTTATCATTGACTAAATTGTATATTTTTCTTATTGTGTATTCATTTATAACATGCTGTTTTGCTTTCAGATATACATTATCTAGTAATAGGGTTATAAGACTCTTAAAGACTTCTGAAATTTCCTCTGATCCCTACATTGATTGTATATTCCCAGATTTTATTTTTAGTTATTTTTTAAATTCATTTTTGTTCTTAAATTCATGCTTTTCTTTTATTATTCCTTAAATATCTAATAATCTCTAGCTTTCTATTCATATTGAAGAATAAGTATGAAAGTGGTGATAGAAAGCTCATTGTTTCTGAACAGGATCAGTGTATCAATCAGCTACATAGCAGGGCAAGGTTTATCATTGAGACTTTCTCAAACATCTATAAAAGAACAGAAACTAAGAAAACTAAGAGGAGATATCCATGAAATTGAAAAACAAATACACACTATAGACAAAAGAAATAAGGCCCAAATTCACTCTTTGAACAGATTAATACAATTGGTAAACTTTAAGATAGATTGACTAAGAAAAAGAGAAAACTCAAAATACAAATATCAGTGATAAGAAATGAAACATTGCCACAGACCCTACAGGTAGTAAAACTATGATGATATTAAGAATAAGTATTTGTGCCAAAATATTTGACATTTTTTTCTTTTATATTCCTGGAAAAATAATTTACCAAAACTTGATATTAGAAGTGATAGAATATCTGAATGATACAATCTTACTTTTGATAAATAGTATCTATCCACCCCAATTCTCTGCTCAGACGACTATAATAGAATACCACAGACTGGAAGGTTTAAACAACAGAAATTTATTTCTCACATTTCTAGAAGCCAGAACTTCAAGATTAAAGTGGCACCAGGATTGGGTTTCTGGTGAAGACTTTCTTCCTTGCTTGTAGACCACTGTCTTCTCACTATGTCCTCTCGTGGCTCTACCTTGTATATATATATATATATATATATATATATATCTCGTGGCTCTACCTTGTATATATATACATACATATATATATATATATATACCTTGTATATATATATAGAGAGAGATAGATATAGATAGATAGATAGATAGATCTATATCTATAGGATAGGGGAGGGAAGGGAGAAAGCATATTTGGGCTCCGATGTCTCTGTTTACAAAAACACTGATTTTTGTCTCACTCCTATGACCTCTTTCAAACTTAATTACCTCCTTAAAGGTTCCATCTCCAAATAC